TCACGCAAGACTCCCTCCTACCATCAAATTCTAAAATTCCATCAGCCTATTCTTTCCGAGGCTGTCTCTACATGACCTTTTAACCTTGCCTTTCTCTTCTTTAAAGAAAAGACATTTTTAAATGACCAGACAAGCTGGGGACCCCACGTTCCCTTCAGGCCAGGGCCTACTAGTGACTCCATGGGCTTAGCTGAGTCCCAGGGTCTCAGCCAGTGGATTCCTCCACCCATTTCTTAGGAGATGAGTCAGAATCTCAAAGAGAATAAGAACACATCGTTCAACATGATAAATATGCATCCAAATTTTTTAAAAACCAAATTACACAAATCAAGCTTATTCTGAGAGGTTCATTTTGCCAGGGGTCTCTAGTGCTCCAATCAGCATAATTAAATAGTAAGATCTCTCTAGAATTGATTGTGGTTTTCACATTTATTTTTTATCATCCAAGGACCATTTCAGCGAGATGATTTTAAGCTAATAAGAGCCCCCAAATTAGAAACGAATTAAGGAGATGGAAAATACAAATGTATTTGTTTTTAGTCGGGCACTATTTTTATCAGAGGAATCATGAAAAATTAAAATTGTTAAATACTCAAGTGAAGGTTGTCCGTCAAGGGCAGTGTGGCTTCCTGCCTCTCCCTGCTGCAAAATTTTAAGGTGATATATCAGAAGCTGATACGTCCCCACGGTTCTCCAGGAAGCGATTAAGAGACTAATATTGAAGAACAGAATTAGACACTGCTGGATATGGCGAGGAAAGGGCGTTGCCATATAACACTCTCGAATCTTTAGTGGTCAAGATTCCTGTATGTCGACCTGGCAACAGGATGAAATCATTCCAGCACTTTCTCATGCCCATTTAATAGACGAGAACATGAAGCCCTGGGGAAGATGAAAGATCTGCGCGGGGTCACACAGCACGCTTAGAAAGAGCCAGGATTACATTTCTATCCAAATGTGCCACAGATTAACTCATAAAATAGTTGTTAAGTCACAATGACACCGGTTTGGAGGACTCTTTTAGGATTCGTGACAGCCTTGAACGCTCAACATGAAGCAGGAGCCTGTGCTCCAGGGGGATGGACGCTGTCTTCTCGAGAGGCGGCAAGCAGTACAGGAACCCACAGACCACTACATGCGAGGACCACGGAGCCAGCCACACACCATAAAATACTGACTCGTTAAAAACATCATTTCAGTCCCCAGGCCTGGAGAACTCCCATTCCTTCTGTAGACTTTGTACTGATTCCAGCACAGCTGACACCCAGGTGAGCTTCACGTCACCAACTTGTCCCTCCTTAGCCTGTCTCTCCACACCGGGCCCTGAGGACAGAGAATCTGCCTGTGGACACTCCCTTCAAACCACCTTCCCTATTGAAGAATCTTCACCAACCCAAAGTCAAGAGGAGAGGAAGACCTGTGGAATTTCCTTAGACGGCTGCCCTGCTCCCCTCAGGCCTAGGACGACGAGTTATGAACTTTCATCATAATCCAGGTAGATTCCAAACTCAGGCGTCAGGAAAACATATTGCTGTCACTGACACAGAGGTCCTTCCCCTCTCCCAGAGAAGAACAGGAGACAGGGGGCTCTTGCCCTGAGGGGGGGGGAGCACCTAGCAGGAGCACGTAGCTGAGTCTGCTGGTGAGAGGACGTTCTTGGCGGCTGGACCTGCCATGTGATGCCAGTGGAAGGGCACCTCGAGAATCAACCCAGCTCCCAGACCACAAAACACCCCAGGTAGGGAACTGAGTCTCAATAACATTTTATAGCTTTACAAAGGACTTTCGCATACCCGATCTCATTTCAGTCTCAGAAAAACCCCAGAAGGCAGGAACTATATAACCTGGGGCTGGGCACAGGGGAACTTTATTTTGTGAAGTGTTGACTCTGAGCCAGCTCCATGTGTCAAGATGCTATGTGTATAAACAAACATACGCAGCAATGACTGTTTTGTACTGTTGTTGGGGGCCAGTGGCTGGAGCAACTGTCAGTCACAGAATTATAAAAAATGTACTCCCCATCCCCAGAGAGAGCAACCATATTCTGTGACAATGGGATTCCTGGCTCTAAGGGGGTGCCACCTGTATTTTTATGGCGGGAGAAAGGAAGAATGAAGGTAAGGTAAGGATGGGCCTTTTTTGCAAACGCTGAGGCTGAGAGGCAGGAAAGAGAGAGGGCTTGAAGGACATGCAGCTTTTGGAGAAGTATCCCTGGGTCGGGTCCCAAGATAGTTGGGATGGCTTAGGCCCTGGAGTGGCTGGCAACCCTCACCCCACTAGAACACAGCGCCCTGGTGGTGTCTGCACCCTAGAGATGAAGGTGGGGGCCCCAATGTTCCCTATGGCAGAGCCGATATAGGGGCACAAGTTGTCTGCAGGGCCTGGCTCCCCCAGATGACCACACAGGTCTGGATAAGGAGGGGCCAGAGGCAGTGGCCACCACCTTGGGCCAGGGGCCAGGCCTCACCCCCCTCCCCACTTGTCCTGACCTGAAAAGCTCCATGAGGTAGAGACAGAACAGCAGCCATGCCTGCTAGGGAAATTCTGTCACACTTAGCCAGTAGGGAAACTCAAATGGGTTTTCATTTGATTTAGGAAAATAAAAAGGATTATTTCTTGCCATCAAATGTCACAGAGCAACTATTCATTATTTTATTTAGCTCTGATAGTGACCCAACAAGACAGAAATTATTAGTTCCACTTTTAATGAAGCTTCTGAGGCTCAGAGAGCTTCAGGAACTGCCTGAGGTCAGCTCCACACCTGGCATGAGTGGCAGCGTCCTGAGCACGGCTGGTGAGGCCCGCAGCCAGGGCTGGTTCCAGAGAACACACATCGCCATCTATAGAACTGGGTTCGGCAAACTTTTGAGACGCAAGAGCCGCCAGGGGTCAGCAAACTGCGGCAGCCTTAGGCTCTGAAGTAAAATTGAAAATGAAAATAAAACTATCATAGTTTCATTTATAAAATTTTTAAAGGATATTATTCACATAATGGTGATTATGCAAAATATATTTATGGTTCTCAAGTAATTTTGAAATTGTTGTGAGGGACAGGATTGGCTCTTCCAGGGGTCGGCAAACTTTTGAGACAGAACGTACCCAACGAGCCGCATGTGGCTCGCAAGCCGCAGTATGCCGACCCCTGCTCTAGAACAAGCGAGTCAACTCTATCTTTGATCATTCAAGCCAATTTCCCCAGGGATTCATTATAGGCATGTCATAAGAAGGGGATATAACAATGAATCCTCTTGTTTAGCTCAGGATTCACCTGGCCTGTGGATGTGTCTCCACTCCTGTGATTTTTCCTCTGCCCCATATATACTCCCTCCCCTGGGAGCAGATAGTCCATATGCATCGTTGCATTTCCGGCAGCTAGCACATGTCCAGCACACAATAGGTACTCGGTAAATTAGGTGAAGGGCCTTCTGATAAACCGAATCCTTGGCTCTTTCTTGCCTCGATCAGGAAGTATGTTACCCTTACCTTTCTGAAGGCACATGCATGATGGAAGTTCTCACCCACCCACCTGCAGGGCTGGACCTTTCATGCCTCCTGCTGCCTCGCATCACCTCCCAATATGAGGAGGCCCCACAGGGTCAGCCTTGTCCAGTCTCCAATCAAGTTGAAGATGCACAGACCACCTGCCCCACTAAGAGGTGGGGTCTGGGAATATCCCAGAGCCAGTACACTATGGCCTGGGGTGCCCAGGGACACAGCTAGCCCCCGGGCACCTGTGAAGCTGGCAGCTCCCTAGCTAGGCCCCTCCAGACATCACCAGTCCCCTGACTGTCTTTGCTGGGGTCCCTGGTGTTCAATTCCCCTTCCATTTCCTCACATAGACAGGAGCTAAGTCCTGGGCCCCCCTGGCGCCTGTAGCTGATCCATTTCCTAGAGCTGGGCTCAGCTTTCTGGATTCCTTCTCCATCTTATTCTTTCTGCCTGATTTAGAACAGGGCCACCCAGAAGTCGTAATACTCTGCCCCTCCCCACCCTTTGGCTCGATGCTGTGGACCCTGACACCCGCCTGCACTGGAATGGAATTTGCCACACCCCCTTGGGCTCCGGCCCCAGGCCATTGGCCCTTTCCGCCTGCCCTGGTCAGTTTCCCAAGGCCCCAAGCTATTTTTGCTCCTGCCTCAGCCTGCCGTTTTCCAGAGGTGGAAGTTGTCAGAGTGGTACCCTGTACAACACACACAGTGAAGACCAGATGACCAATGGAACAGGAGCGCCAACAAATCAGCATCAGATCAGTGCTCATCTTTGGGTCTCAAGTCCAATTGGCCCCCTGGCCTTCCAGTCTCGGGCCCTGCCTCCTAGGCTCTGGGGACCTGTTTGATACTTCCTGCCTTGTTTGACCTCCCCACCGTGTCTGCCAGCCCCTCCTGGGCTCTCCAGACCTCTACTCGTGACCTATCCCAGTCACCCCTGATCACTGGCTACTTGCCCTGGCATCCTCGGAAGGATGAAGAAAGCCCAAGGTCCCCTTTTCCTTTTTTTTTTTTTCTTTTTAAAAGAATTACTGACCCATGGCTTCACCCTGTCATTTGAGAAATCTGGACCAGTCCAGACTTCCCAACCAGTGAGTCCCCAAGTCTACCCCTCAGGTATCACCAGTACACGAAAGGGCTCCTGCACCCTTCACTGACTCCGTCTCTCCATTGACATCAACTCCTTGCTTCCCAAGGGAGCTAATGGGGAATTATGACTTCTTGATTTGTTACCTGGAGCCCTTCAAACAAGAGGTGCTACATCCCTAACAGCATCAGGCCTTCCCATAAGGCACAGGAAGTGAGCCCACCTGATGCTAAATCTTCCAGAACCTGGCTCCAACAAGCGCATGGGGCAGACCCTAATAAACACAAAGCATCAATCAGGCCTTATTGGGTTCATTTGCATAGTTAATCTTTCCAAGGGTTGACAGTTCATGTCTACTACAGGCTGATATGTTCTCCTACTTGTCATATCATTCAGAAAGGATAGATGAGCCAAAGGTTCATTACCTGTCATTACAACGTGCACATGTCGCGGAGGGTCGAAGCATTGATTCTTCTTGGGTCTCAATGGTGCAGTCCCCAACTTGGAGGCTCCAGGTCCAACAGCCTGGATGATGCTCACTCCTCAGGCCCTGGGTGGGCTCCACGCCATCCCTTATAGCTTTCCTGGCTGGCCCGCTCCTCAGGGGGTGGTAAGGCCTTCTGAGACCCCAGCTACTTTAGAGGGGACCTGCAGGAAGAACATAGGTCTCGGTTATGAGGGCCAAAGACACGTGTCCAAGTTCTTTTTTGTTTGTTTTTTGTTTGTTTGTTTGTTTTGTTTTTTTGTTTTGTGGGGTTTTTTTCAAGATTTTATTGGGGAATTGGGGAAGGGGAACAGTGTTGGGGAATTGGGGAAGGGAACAGCCAAGTTCTTGTCCTTTAATCTTAGTTGTGGAGGGCAAAGCTAGCTCAGCTCCAAGTCCAGTCACCATCTGGCCGCCCGTTGGCAGCTCAGGGCAGCCCAGCTCAAAATGCTGTGTTCAATCTTAGTTGCGGGTGGGCGTAGCCCACCATCCCATGTGGGAATCAAACCAGCAACCTTGTTGTTAGGAGCACGTGCTCTCACCAGCTGAGCCATCCTGCCACCTGATGGCAGCTCAGCGGCAGCTCAGTTCGGGCGCAGCTCACTGGCCCATGTGGGAATTGAACTGGCAACCTTGTTGTTCAGAGCTCGCGCTCTTAACCAACTGAGCCACTCAGCCGGCCCTATGTCCAAGTTTTAACTGTTCTAGAATCTTCCAGCCATCCTCATTGCGCTTTACTATTAGGTCTTACAATTCCTGGTGACTATATGAGCTCTACCTCTGCCAGAGTCTTCACTGTCAGTGTTTTGCTCACCCTATCCCCAGGCCTCAGCACACACACGCGCACACTCCTTCATTTCTGTCTTTCTACCTCTGCATATTTTATCTTCCTGAAAGACCCACTTTCAGTCACTCATCCTAACCACTATTCCTATTTTGGCTCAGACTCACCAACAGAGCCTCGTTGCCCAGGAAATAGGAAGGATCTGGGTGCTCTCCCTCCACCAATGAGGCCTCAAAGACCAAGAACATGTCTATCGGGGACAATCCTCAACTCCTAAGGCCCAGGCCCCAGGACAAGGATTCCGGTGTGCTGTGGTTTACGGTGGGGGGAGCTCTAGGAAGGCCATCCACCTGGAGTGACAGTGAGCCTCCTCTTACAGCCCTGCACTCAGAACGAGAGGCAAGCATGGAGATGCAGACCTCACTGCGTGAGGACACAGACACGGGATCCACTGAGTGACCGCATCTCATAGCCAAGACAGCAGTTCACACTGGGGCAGGGGTGGGGGCTCCAGTTAGAAGCAGCCCTGCCCCAGTGAGGAGATCTGCTCGTCTCTGAAGACAGGTCCACACTGGCCACAGCCCTGCACCTCAGACCAGGCATGACCTCCAACAACAAGGGTGGAAGGGGAGGGCTCCTGCTGTCCAGATGGCTGAGACCCTGAGCTCCACCCCAAGCCTGGGCTCCTCCGGGCCTCAGTGCCACGACTGAAAAGGGGCTGTGGCATGTGGAGGGTGTCTACAAGAGCACCCAGCACTGCAGATAAGAGGAAGTACCGTGGACAGGGATGGGGGTGGCAAAGGAAGGGTAGGGACGTGAAGTCCCACGGACTCCGTAATCATAATGATGGCGATGTCTTACAACACGTAGATGGGGTTATATCCTTCAAGCTGCTTTTGCATCCATTGGACCCATTTGGTTTCACAGTAGCAATGTAAAGGGGTATTTTCAAGATGAGGAGATAGAGGAACGGAGAGGTTAAGAATCTTGCTAAAGGTCACACAATAAGTTAGTGAAAGAATCAAGGCTGGAATTCCTGACTCCCGTTTACCATTCTTTCCAACAAGCTCCCTGGTCCTACAGTAAATTGATGTCCACTTTGGGGTGTGGCAGGTCAAGAGGAGCGGGAAGGAGGAGGGGAACAGAGGCAGCCTTGGCCTGCGATGGGGGGATGGAGAAGAGGAGCATGATCCTGCCTTTGGTTTCTCCCCTGATGGGAGAGTTTAGGAGGAGAGAGCACAGAGAGAATAGAGTGATAAACAGAAAAGACAGGGACGTGGACGCTCCCACGTATCAGGAGCAGCTCAGGCAAAGAGGAAATTGGCCGTGATAAACAGCCACAGCTTTGGGGGGCTGGGCTGACTTTGAGCCTCTTGGGTGGTGCACCTGGCTCCCCACAGCTCTGGCCTCTGAGGCATTTCTGAGCCAAGCAGCACTGGTGGGGTTGGAAGCTGCTCTAAAAGAACAAAGCAGTTATTATTATTACCTTCAAAAAGCACATGTACATGGCAATAATCTTTTGTATATGTGATATATTCCTAAATAATAAAAATGAAAAAAAAAACAAAAACCATGAAGTTCTACCTGTGAAGAAAGATATTGGCTGTGAAGAAAGATACTGACAATGAGATTCTCTGCTTGATTCCAAAATGCTCTGCTTCTGTTCACACAGAGGAAGTCATGACCTAGGAAATTCCTACCTGGTGATGGAAGGCAGGGCTGAGCTCCTTCCAAAACAAGCAGCATGGGCCAAAGGCCAGGAAACCCAGAATAGGTGAAAAATCCACGGAGTTAGGCATAAAAATGATGCAGACATCAGCGGCAGCCATGTAGCTCGGTGGCGGACCCACACGCTCACCTCCATCAACAGAGGACCAGACCTCAAAACCTCAGGCCACAGGCAGGACAGAAAGGCACCCCCTTGGTGTCAATGCTCTGTGTCCCAGGCTCCCTGCTGGGTCCTTGCTCAGCCTTTGAGCTCTTAGTGAGCCCTACTACGTGCACCGGATGCCGTGTGGGAGGGAGGACAAGTTGCACCCTTCACAAGCTGGTCAACAGCCCATCCCGCTGGCTGCATGGTCACCTTTGTAGCCCCAGAAGCAAACCATTAGAGCTCCTCAATGTTTAGGGGGGGGGGCAAGGGACAGGAGCCCTTCCAAGCCCTCTTACAAGGTGGGATTGAAACATATTCACAGCAGATGGTGCTGTCGCCCTCGCTCCAGGGTCCTCATTCCTAATTATCTGTGCTGTCAACAAAAACAATTAACCCTCAAAGAAAAATTGCGCCATCCACTCCCAAACACATGAAAAGGCAATTTTTTCCCAAGGACAAGGGATACTTAGGGCAGTGGCAGAGGGAAAGTAGGGCAGCCTTGAGTTGGGTTCCGGATCTCACTCACCCTGGGCGATTTCGCCATCCTCTTACCTCTCTGGTCTGCCATGGGCATCACACCTGCAGCCCCTCCTGCCTCTGAGCCTGTGTTTCCTTTCCTATAAAAGGAGGAGGGGAGTCCAATCCCTGGGGTCCCCTTCAGTCCCGCAGTTCCACCATTCTACAAGCCAGGTTCTTTTCCTCCGAATTTTAAGTTCTCTGGAGCAGAGACTGACTGAATTTCCATTTGTTCCATCATTCATTCACTCGCTTATTCATTCATTCATTCATTCATCCATTCATTCATGCAGTTATTGCATATTTATCATACTGCTCCCAGGAGATATAAAGAAAATATCTATTCAGCCTTCTTGACCACTGCTTGAAGACTTCTTCCCCTGAGATGTGGGGAGAGAAGGGAAGCATGGGGCAGGGAGAGGTGGGGCCTCCCAGGGGCTTGAGGACTTGGCATCAGGCTACAGGAGTAAAGTGCTGCTGCTGCATTTGAATTCTCTCCGAAGATTCGGCTGCACAAAGGCAGCCTCCTCTCCAGGGAGCTGAATTTGGTGAGCAAGCCACTTCGGTCCCCAGGGAAGGCCTGCAGAGGGGTGGAGGGGTGTGATGTGAGGAGAGCTGAAAGCCCCCAGCAGTTGCTGTGGTGCTAGTGACAGCACAGGGCCTGCACTTTGCAGGTGCTCATTAAATATCTGTGGCATGAGTGAATGAACCAGAATGGCCCTTCTTAAAGGAATTGTTTTCTAAAAAGGAGAGTTTTTACAGGGCTACAGCATGTTTGTTACCTAGGAGGCTACGACTTAAGGCAGGGATCAGTTGGCCTAATTCATCCTTCACCATGCACTGTCATGGAAAAGAAAGCAGAATGAGCAAGAAATTGTAGAACGTTAGCTGACAGAGCCTTCAGGGATGATGTCACCTGGGGCCACATTTTGTAGGTGCAATCTGGAGAGGTTGAGGGGCTGGCTACTCACAGACAGGGAGAGATGGAGCAAACCCTGCCACAGGTGGCCCCCATCCAGGCCTCATCCTGTCCCACTCCATACTGCCTCCCACGACCACCCCTGAACAGACTGGAGAACTCAAGAGGCAGAAAGGACAGGAAAGTCCAGGTTGGGGTACTATCCAGGCCCCGTAGACCTGCAGGCCCCCTATTCAAGCAGGGCAGTTCTCTGGGCACCTGGGGGTGAAAGACAGGACTAGATGCAGGGAGCTGTCACCCCCTCTTGCACCACCATTTTGCCCAGTTCAAGCCTTATGACATCTTTTTTCCCTCTTCTTATCACCCATCTGGCTATCAGCACTTGCCCTCACCCAATACCCAGAAGCACAGGCTCCAACGCCAGCTCCTTGGCATAAAAGGAGTGTGTTTATATTCAAAGCAGGCTGTTGCCCACTCGAATCTGCCCACGCGAAGGCAGCACATGTGACTGCACCCCCTGCCCAGAGCCCAAGCGGGACAGATGCCAACCTCTGGCTGGAGACATTTCTAAATATGAGCCTGGCACAAAGAGTCAGGTTCCCAGGCCTCCTCTGTCCTGGGATACCCAGCCAGGATTTTCGAGTCTGCTGGGAGGGAGAAGGCTGGGGAGAGGCAGAATCAGGAGGCAGCCAGCTGAGACAGCCATTGGCCCTGGAAACATCGCCCGAACCCCTCACTGGTCTCCCAGCCTCGTTAGGGGAAGGGAAAGGATTACCCTGTGCCCAGCAAGTCTAATCTATTACCTGAAACCCTTGGCAGGGGGACAGGAAAGCCACTGCCTGCTCAAATGTGCACAGATTAAAAATATACAAATGGAATATTTTTTTCTTCCCCTCTCCTCAACCCCCTGAAGCCTGGGATGCTTGTTAAAAATAGCCTTGCTGTGGCATGGATCCTACAAAACCCAACGGCTGGCAGGAAAATGAAGGAACCATTGGAGACAGCACTGAGTGGTTACCCCCGGGGAGTGGTCTGGGAGGGCCAAGATGTGGGGAGGGGTTCCCAGTATTTC